GATTAGATAAAGAATTGGCTAAATAGTCATCGATCAATTCTATCAGTGTTCTAGAATTTATGAGAACAGCTGTAATCCGAATCTAAAGGAAACTAGATTTATATCTAATACCGAATCTATACATATAGGTGCAGTTCTTGAATAATAATTTAATTATTTTAAATAATAATAATAACAGCTGTTTTCGTTCTAACTAGAACAGCTGATTAAAAATTTGACCGAATAAATATTTGCCAATTCGATAAGTTTTTAATTTAGGCTTAAATTGAATGAATCTAATTGTAACACCTGTAATATAACAACCTCCAGAACCAATGGGGCCAATCAAAAAATTTTATTTAAAATTTTTTTTTTAAATTTTTTTTTTACATATCAGATATAAAAACTTAAAAAAAAAAACAGCCCAAAAAAAAAAGCCAACAAAATTACTAAACTTCAACAAAACTAGGAGAATCAAAAGAGTTCAAAAGAAAAGAATCACTGGGAGAATCGAAAGAGTCTAAAGAATCACTACCAGGAGAATCGAAAAATCGCGACAGGGAGAATCTAAAGAGTCCAAAAAATCACCACCAAGAGAATCAAAAAAGTTCAAAGAATTACCACTGGGAGAATTGAGAGTCCAAAGAATCACCACTAGAAAAATCAAAAGTCCAAAAGAATCACCAGGAGAATCAAAAGAGTCTACCAATAGGAGAATCAAAAGTCCAAAAGAATCACTGGGAGAAGAGAAAGAGTTCACCACCAGGAGTCCACTACCAGGAAAATCAAAAGAGTCCAAAATAATTACTCAGAGAATCAAAAGAGACCACTGCCAGGAGAGTCGAAAGAGTCCAAGGATTACTGGGATACCCATTTTGAAATTTAAATCGGGTTACCGTTTAAACCGATGGTTCTTTGTGAACTCTTTTGATTCTCCAAAAAAAATCAAGAATCACAAAGTACCACCGGTGCTATTACATGTTTAAATCGCACCATGTCACGTCCCAAAGTAAAGAGCAAACCTAAAATAAAAAAGAAATGTTAGTAAGAAAAACCAAAAAAGAAACAAGCAAAGAAAAAACAAAAAAAAAAGAAAGAAAACTTGGACCGGTACTTATCTTTATACCAATTCAAGTCAAATCACCAAAACCCGAGAGAATTAAAAGAGTCCAAAAGAATCACAGAGAGAATCGAAAGAGTCCAAAAGAATAGTCCAAAGAATCACCACTGGGAGAATCGAAAGAGTCCAAAAAATTACTACCAGAGAATTGAAAGAGTATAAAGAATCGCTACCAGGAGAATCAAAAGAGTCTAAAGAATCACAACCGAGAGAATCAAAAGAGTCCAAAGAATTATCACTGGGAGAATCGAAACAGTCCAAAAAAATCACCAGAAGAATCGAAGTCCAAAAGAATTACCAGGAGAATATAAAGAGTCCATCACCAGAAGAATTGAAAGAGTCTAAAAAAACATTGGGAGAATCAAAAGAGTCCACCAAGGATTACCGGTGGTTCTTTGTGGACTCTCTTGGTTCTACCAGGAGAATCAAAAGAGTCCACAAAGAACCACCGATGCCATTGCATGTTTCAAATCGCATCATGTTACTCCCAGAGTAAAGAGCAAACCTAAAATGAAAGAGAAATATTAGTAAAAAGAAA